ATGCTAGGAAAAACTTCTTCACAGTTAGGGTGTCCAGACTGTGGAATAAACTCCCTCCAGAGGTGGTGCAATCACCTACCCTGGAAATCTTCAAGAGGAGACTGGATGGTCCCCTTGCTTGGGTCACCTGACCCCAGTTGTCTTTCCTTACTAGTGCAGGGGGCTGGATCTGATGATTTTGCAAGGTCCCTTCAAGCCCCTTAGTCTCTGAATTACAAAATGTTTTTGGAGCAGTAATTGTTTTTATAAAGATTTCAAAAACATACTTTTATTCACATAAATGTACTGGCAACTAATTTTTTTTAAAAGGTTGTAAATATGATGAATTATCATCCCATTTTAAAAATGTGTTTTTTTTGTTTTTTTTTGTTTTGTTTTTTTTGTAATGAATATATCTCTTGCCATTTAACTGAGCTCTTGTACTAAACTACAGCATTATCCATACAAGCCTTGTAGAAAGATTTTGTTTCATGAAAGCAAATCAAGTTGTTTTTGTTTTTGTGTGGGTTTTTTTTAATATTCTTTTACTTGGAAGGACACCTGTTTCTGATGATTCATTGACAGCAGAGGAGTCCATGTAATTCCATTATAAATAGATAAGAGAATGGCTTGTTTTAAATCCATGTGGAAGTTGTTAGTGCATTTGAGAGACTATGAAAACAAGCCCAGTATAAACTGCTGCTTTTAATTATTTGAATAAAGGAACCTTTTTTATTAATATTGATACAGCTAATTGACTGCCTCTCTATAATGAATGCCCTCTTTTTAATTAACTTTTCTCTTGGCCCAATGGGGGTTTGCTATAATAAGGTTGCATGGCAATTTGGCTTGCTGAGTGCTGTTTTTTGTCTTTTTTTTGTGGGGGGGGAAGGAGTCAAGTGTGAAACGATAAATCTGTGTAGAGTTCTTCTCTTAGGCTTGGTAAATATATTTGTCTCCGTACACTGAATTTTTTTTTTTTTTTGAAGCAAAATTCTATGGTAGCTCTCTGGCTAAGAAACTAGATTTTATTTATTTATTTTTTTTTTAAATTTTCCTTCCAGATTAGGCATGGCTGAAGTTTCCCGTAAGCCTCTCATCAGAAATCATGAAGGGAAGTTATTAGATTTTAGAAAATGGCTGTGAGCAGATTGATTGTAGTCATGCAGATTTTTTTAAAATAATGGATGTGGTCCAGTAGCTTCTGTTGGAAAAGGTGGCACTGCTTGTTTTGCAGGTTTATTCCACCTGCTAGTTGATCCATTGAAATTGTTGCACTAGATTCTGAAAGTTTTCAGGAATTGTAGCCTGTTTTCAAAAGTTCTTTTCCCCTGGAGACTGGTATCTGTGTAGCTTTCAGTGGAATAATTGCAAGAGAAACAGTTTTTGATAAGGGGGGGAGGTGTGAACTAGCAATTTCCCTAGACCAGTGGTGGTGGTGTTTTGTGGGGTTTTTTTCCTCTTTTTAAGGTTGGAAGGGGTGATTATAGTAGTCTAAGGTAAAATTTTAACAAGTGCCTGCCCCTGATTCCACAGGGATTCTTGCATGAGGCCCCCAGCCTTTAAGGTGTGTTCAGAGACATGATGTAAAGGTGGACCTCGGCATAGCTTCTAGTGAAGGTGAGCCCATGGCTCCTTGGATTCTGGGACTAGGAGGGTAACAGCACCCTTTTGGTGTCTCTTGCCATTTTTTGTAATGTTGTTTATCTCCACTGAATCTGTCTGATCCTTGCTTCAAGATGCACTCACTAGTAGAAGAGCTTCTTGAGATTCAGTGATGGTTTATAGATATTGCCATTTTATGATCTTATGTAACTTAACCCTGGGATGGTTTAGTCAGGGATGATCCTGCCTTGAGCAGGGGGCTGGACTATATGATCTTGTAAATTCGCTTCCAGCCCTACTCTCCTATGATCCTATTAATAGATACCTATTTATCAGGGATCAGTTTACCTCTTAGACTCCACCTTTAAACACAAGGTGCTTGACTGTGTGCTTAGTTAAGTTTTACAAAACGATACATTTCACTGCTGGTTTCTCCAGTTGGCATCTGGCAGCTTTAAAGAATAGGGTACCTTATTTGTGTGTGTGCGTTGTTTTTTTTTTTTTTTAAAGTTTTTGTTTTTAACTTTGTTTTTTTTAAAATCCAGTTTCTTTGTGAAACTGATCAATCTGTGTTCACTATCCAAACAGAAGGAAATGGAAGAAGTAAAAAAAATAAATATAAATAGAGCATATAATCAACTTGAGCTTTAACTTTTGTTTTTTCCCCTCCCCATTTTGTCCATTTTAAACGGCATTTGTCTGATAAAGCCTTTCTGATCTCAAAAATCATAGATTCTTATTACTTATATTATGACGGGGTGCTGTTGGTCTTGAATATAAATACAAAAAGATGGGAGTGATGCAACTTTTGGGGAGGTCTGCCTTACTGTTTGCGAACTGGGAGACCAGAAACTCGGAACTTTCTTCTGTGTGCAGTTTTAGTGCCTCGAACCCTAGTCAAAATTGAGGTCCGTATAATATTTGTCAG